CTTCTTCTAACTTGGGCCCCTGGAGTAAGGCTAGTAGTACCAGTTGTGGTCTATTTTCCTAGCTAAGCCTATGTCTACCTTAAATGGAATAAACATCACAGTATTATATATCTTCTACAATACAGATTTTAACTATTACAATTTTTTTATAAAACATATCAATGTTGTTATTATATTATATCAATGATGTTGTTATATTTCTTCTTTGTTACGAATGTTAGGCCTATCCTGCTGCTCGTGTGTGTCCCACACATGTGAGCTGGTAGGCTGGAGTAGCTAAGTAGGCCTACGCCTACCTAAGATCCTAAGGTAGAAGATTAATCACAAAATCAGAAAAACCCCACCAAAATCGGGGGCTCTACCTATAATATAGGCCTCCATTCCGCAACCTATGGGTCATGACCCAATGTTTAAGTCGCGAAGAAATTTTGATGGGTCGCGCAATCGCTTCAGATAAAAAAAAAATTGATGCCCATAAACGAAAGTGCCAACAACCGAACCCGGATGCATGCGAGTTAGCTTGGTATTTACCGTGCGAATACATTCCTGTTCAAATTAATTTAAACAGGAGCCATTAATAAAGTTTTAGATAAAAGTTGAAAATGAGTATCCAGACATCACACAGGCTGCAACAAAGTTTATAATGCCATTCTCCACAACATTGATGTGTGAGACTGGATTTTCAATCCATACATGTAAGTTGAAGTATCGGAACAGACTGCAAACAGTGACCCTGTGTGCCAACCTGAGGATTGCATTATCACTGCAAAACCAAATTGATGAACTTTCTGCAGAAAAGTCCACCATTGCACTAACAGACCTATGTACTGAATTTAATGATCATATCATGGATGGAGTAACATACGTCATTGTATAATGTACTTTTTTCAAAATGTAATTTTAATTCCAGAGAAAGTCATTCTGAATTTTAAAATGGTACAGAATAAAGTTTTTGGTGTTAACAAAACTCTTTCAACAAACAACTTTGTGAGTAAAGAATCACTTTATGTTCCGATAAATATTGCATTTATATTCTTTTTCAAATAAAGTTTTAAGCAATACTTGGTGTGCTAGTGTCATTAATTGTCTGTGTAAAGGTGTTTTTGAACACTAGTATAAAATAAAATAACTGACAAAAAAGAATCAAGTGCGTGATTACAGTGAACACTGCGCAATTCGCACATGGTCAAAATGCAAATGTATGTCCTCGAATCTAGAATATCGAAGACAAGTAACAAAATATGGGTATTATAGAAACACCTTTTACTTTTGATTCAAGATATAATTTTTCCATTATTAAAGACAAGGATAATTTGGCCTGAGTTTGATGGGTCGCGGCTGAGTGCTAAATATTTGGATTTGGGTCCCGGGCTAAAAAGGTGTGGAACGGGGATATAGGCTAAAGGAACATAATGGTAGATTTCTACATTATGTTAATAAACGACCGAAAATTGTAAAATCATGAAAATAAAACGATGCGAAATATCTCAGATTGTAAAATCGCGAAAATATAGGGCAGCGAAAAAAAAGGGCTGTACAGTATACAGTTTTATCTACAACTGTTATTAAAATTATATACATAATTTTATACAATATAAGTCTATAAACTGGTTGGAATGCCAATGAATCTAATAATTCTATTTACCAAGCCAAAGTAGAAACCATATAAGGGCATATATTTTAGACCATCCTTCAAGACATATCGCATTCTTCCAAGACAGCCGGCACGGATGGCCAGCATGTCAGCGATGATCCAATCCATTGTACTCTGGTGGTTGGACAGGTACAAGACATTCTCCTTCTTAAGGTCATCAACATCACCGGACAACACAACCTATTCATCAGTAATAAAAAAAAATAGTAAATTGTACACAATAGCCTACCATCATAGACTGAGTCTATATTACTCTATGTCCAGTCTACTAAACTGAAAAACATCTAGGCCTCTATGGCCGTAGTTCCAAACCTTTTTGCGTTTGTGGACACCTCTGGACATTCATGGACCCGTCCAAATATTACTTATTGTCAATCTCAACAAATAGATTAGCCTACAGATAGAAGATGATTCGCCATGAAAGTACAACATTAAACAGTGGCAAATCATGGAATTTGAAATAGAAACCAACTTTAGTCCCACCATGTTTGGGGCTGAGGTACAAATTATTTATGTCTATGCCACTTCTAGATGGCTGGAAATGGCACTGTCTGACTCAAAATTTGAAGGTAATTTTCTTTCATCCCCATCTCTCCATACGACGAAAATGACTTTAAAAATTGAATAAAAATAGAAAAAACAGAATTTCTTAGACTTTTTTTTTACATCTTCCTGATCCATGTAGGCCTAGCTTTCATATTTCTGGCACAACAAAAAGGAAGATAACCAGTTTTCTGATTTTTACATGCAATTGGCCTAGGCCCCTAATAAACTGTGATATTTTCTTACCTCGAAGTAGTGCACCGCCAGCGTTTCAGCCAGGGTCAATGTAGGCCTATCCTAAGTAACTAGTAGGCCTAGGCCCTGTCCTACGGTACCGTAAAACCTCGAATTGAAGCCCTGGGCTTCTTTTTTTTTTTTTTTTTTGCGAACTTGAGATGGGCTTCTTTTTGAGATGGTACTTTTGCAAAGTAAAGAGGGGGCTTCTTTTCAAAATGAATGCTGTAAATTTTGTGAATTTGTATAATTATTAAACAATAAATAAGGCCACTGTAACATCAATCTGTATCATGGAGTGTATTTAACATGTATAAAATCACCTAAACTACTGTATAACCAACCAAGCTCTTTTTAAATTTATTTTGTTTTTTGAAATTCATGTACAGTGTATACTGCACTTGAAATTCATGTAGGCCTACAGTGTATGTATTGTACTATCTCCAAAAGATGCCTAGGCCTATGCTATCTTGTAAAGAAGCCCATGGACTAAAAAGGGGGCTTCAATTCGAGATGGGCTTCATCTCAAGCCCACTGGTCTTTAAAGTTTAATTCGAGGTTTTTTTTACGGTATGCATTAAAAAGCCTGCCCTACTGTAGGCTAGGCCTACTACAATGCGCACTTTGAAGCTTAATGAGAGCTAAGTTAAATTGGTGTATATTATATAGAAAAGAAATAATTCAAAAATCCACTTTTGCAAAATACCTCCACGCCTGTACAATGTTCAAAGAAGAACTCAATGAATCGTTGGTATGTTCCCCATATGCAATCGTCACCCGCACGGAACCAGCTCGTTGGCAATAACACAGAGGCTAATCGCCAGCCTAGGATTAGCGTTAAATACTGTGGTCCAACACCCATTAACGCCACAGCTGGTACGGCGAACCGTAAGGTGTTTATATGGAATATCACTGTTAACATACTGAAAATATAAAAGTATGTGTTTTACAATCAAATTCATTAAAATTACACCATAACCCTAGATAAAACGCATACTGCATTTCCACATGTTAGCAGCGAATCTAGGAAAGTTTTTTTCACGACCAAAGCACGCCCTCTCACGGATACACAGTGGCCATCAAAGATCTTATAAACACAAGATAGCGTTCTCCGCGATTTACGCGTGCAAATTCTGTAATAAGGCATGAATGGCGCCCTCTTGCTAAATTGGAAACTTTTGACCTTTGACCGCTATGACCATACCTTTCCGTACGAAACATTTACATGAAACTCCACTCGGGCCGTCTCGGCTGAATCGACCCGAAAATCTCATTGCAGAACTTTGGTATAATAGCGCATGAATGACGCCCTCTTGCTAAATTGGAAACTTTTGAACCTTGACCGACGCTTCTATTTGTTACGCGTAAATCGCGGAGAACGCTATCTTGTGTTTATAAGATCTTTGGTGGCCATGTGATCACTAAAACTACATTAAAGATCTAAAGCCGGTTTTCTTCTCGTCTGCCATTCTCAACTGACTGTCCCATTGGTCACTTTAAATCTTGTGGCGGTCGTTCTTTTATTGTTGCTGCTCCAAAACTTTGGCACCAACTGTGCGTTACTCTTCAACTTTGACTGTCTTCAAGTCTCGGCTCAAATTCCATCTTTTCTCTTTATTTTAATTATGAACTTAATTCCTTTTCTTTTGTTTTTTGTTTTTGATTCTTCATTCTTTTTGTGCAATTGGGCTGTGGTTTCTTAGCGCATAGAGACGATTTTGTAGATGCTCTATAAAAGTGTATCACCATTACCATAATTATTACATAAACACATATTGAAACCACAAGTCTGTTCAGATGGTTTTATTGACTGTATCAATTGGGTTTGGGATAGGAAAGAGTCCAAACTGCAAGTTTGAGGCAACTCTAACTATGGAAGAAAAACGTTCTGACCAACGGGATTCTAGTCATGCTCGGATGCAAACCTTGATTGACAACTGTCTTTGGTTGCTGGACAGAACGGCAAAAAACCAAAACGGCAATAAGTCAAAACGGCAATGAGGAAAACGGTAAAAAAACCAAAACGGCAACACTTTTCAACCAGAACGGCAATAAAGTCAAAACTGCAATAAGTCAAAACGGCAAGACCAAAACGGCAATAGGCCTAAGTCAAAACGGCAATAAACCAACATTTATAGGCCTACGTTTATTTTTATCACAAATATATTTATATTTCCAATAATTTGTGTATTTTGATATGATACGGTACCAGTAGCAGAGACGATAGCTAAATGGTGACAATTGTTATTTTATATGTTTATATTGTATTGCTCTTGGGTAATAATAATAATAATAATAATAATAATAATAATAATAATAATAATAAAACAATATATCATACAAATTCGATAGTAAAAATATTGGGGGAATTACAATGTAAACATTTAAATAGTTGTAACTTCAAAATGCAGACAAAATAAGGCTAAACAATTTATGTCATAAAAGTGAAAATGCGCGAAAGAAAAAAAATAATAATAAATAACACTTTAAAGAAGAAGACAACAACAATAATAATAATATTAATAATAATAATAATAATAATAATAATAATAATAATAATAATAATAGTAATTGTTATTGTCGTGATGGAATAATAGACAATAACTGGATTTGTGTCAAGAGAAATATGTATAGGTGAAATTTTGCCCTACCTTACGTGGAAATGTACCGAATACTCAGTACATTTGAAAACAACTGTGAAAAAAATCTCAAGTTGTCCCACCCGAGAATAACTTGCGATTTTTTCGCAGTTTTTTTCAAATGTACTGAGTATTCGGTACCTTTCCACGTCAGGTAAGGCAAAATTACACCTATAAATAATAATAATAATAATAATAATAATAATAATAATAATAATAATAATAATAATAATAATAATAATAATAATAATAATAATAATAATAATAACATACAATACAATTCAATAGTAAAAAGACTGCGATAAAACACGATTCAGAAAATTATAAACTGCTGCCCGCGCCCGGTTGCGCTTCATTCTTGGCATTGATTTTACACCTTTGCCGTTTTGGTCTATGCCTATTGCCGTTTTGGTATTGTCATTGCCGTTTTGGTTTATTGCCGTTTTGGTATTTATTTTTGCCGTTTTGGTTTATTGCCGTTTTGGTCATTGCCGTTTTGGTCGTTGCCGTTTTGGGTTTTTTTCCCGTTTTGACCTGCTCCCCTGTCTTTACTTGCTTACGCTTTTGTTAGTGGTTTGAAACTAATCACTTTGTTTTTGGATTAGTTTCCTGCTTTAGAAAATGCTTTCTATATGCGTCCTTTGTGTTACCTTGTTGTTGGAAGAGAAATACCACCAGTTGGAATGTTCATTGTCTCAAACTAAGTACATAATTCACCACTGCCCGTCGACAAATGGTATGGGTACTTCATACTTCTGTCTCTGTACATTTTCCACATCGGAATTATATCAAATATTCCGATTTTCGTTCGGATACGTTACCAAGAGCAAGAGACTATGAGTTCAATCTCAAGACTTTTAACTGTGTATAAGTGGTACTCTTGATTTTTCCCAGTAAGACACGTTTTTCTCCAGGTATTTTGTAATACTCAATGAATAATAATAAATCACATTGGTATGAAAAAACACCCCCATTGGTGATAACTTAAAAAAATAAAATAAAACTGTTTCCGATGTCATTCATATTAGCTACCTTTCATTGAGAGAGGTTACTCAGAGCATGGAGGATCCATGCTCAGAGTCACTAAAGACTCGGTGACGTAACAACATACTTGACTAATCTTCAACATACAACAACTTATAAAAGATCTTTTATTGCGGATACGCACAGCACCCAATTTCAAGGTATAAATACTCCACAAAAGTTAAAAATTGAAACGCCCAATGACACGGCACTACTGCTCAGTCATTTCGATCAGCAACTGGATTTGTTTACCTACTGAATGAGTTATTCAGAGTAGCCGATGAGGCATGAAAAGAAAATGCTGTCACCAACGCAGTTGTGAGGTCAGTTTATACTCACCAACAGCATTTGATGTTACCAGCTAAAAAATAACAGAGATTGTATAATAATCATGTCGTCGTTTAAATTTTGTATTTGTATAATATTAGGCTTCGTAATCACAAGTAAACGAGTATCAGGCGGACAGGGTAAGGTATTATTTAATGTGTCGTGTTCGTTAGGTACATGGTAAATGGGTTGCCTGTTTGTATATATAGATGTCGGTGAATTGTGTAATATTATTTTGTATAATAAAGCTATGTGTAATTCCACTCGAAAGTCATAAAATTAACGTTGTTAAGCACTCGATAGATAACGTCATATAAAACACCAGAACGACTTTTAGATTTTTTGGAATCTGTATATATTTAATCCTGCTACTATTCATCGAAAAGGCCTTAAACCGTGATCCCACACACCCTTAAGAATCAACCAACCTGACACTACCAAGCCTAATCCTACTCTCAACTATTATAGTATATTATAGATACTGTAGGTCTATTGTTCAGTTAGAGCCGGATCCTAACATCAATGGCGATGACATCTACAATGCATATTAACCAAAAATGATAGTTTTCGGAAAGATTTTATTGATTTAAGTCTATGTTTTCTCATATGGAATCAGTAAATTCTTCCATTATTGTTATTAATAGCAACAGGGGTGGTATTTCTTAAGGGTTTGCAAAGCAAATATCAATAATAAAATAATTAGGCTTTCGGTACACCATGTGTAAAAACATAGGCCCATTTGCACTTTTGATTGTTTAACTTTATAACTGTTTTTACACGTGGAATGTATTTGAGTCTTGTATACATAATATTTTATAGCACTGAATTGCTTATTGGTAGTTTATACTTCACGTTTTATTTTGCCTCACCCCAACGTCACATAATTTCATATGACGAATTACGAAGCAGAGCCACCACCGGAATCCTAACATGATTTCCTCTGAGATTCCATAATATGTTTCCGAACGTTGCCTCCTTTATTACCTGATATTACAAACTATTTGAACTTTACTATTCCATCGAATAATATTGTGGTTTTTTTTAAATTGTATACAGTATTTGTTTACATTATCGAAAGATTATTCAGTTCATTTTAGGCTTACTTGAAGAAATATATGTTTGACGTACTTTTTATTCAACAGTAAGATTCAGAGACGGTTTCAGCTCAACTAGTGGACGAGTAGAAGTAAAGCCAAGCAGTGGAGGCGCTGATTGGGGAAACATTTGTAGCGATGATTTTGATATAATCGACGCCGACGTTATATGTCGCCAACTGGACTACGCATGGGCACTGTATGTCTACAACGTGAGTGAATATGTAGGAACAAAACCTGCTGCAATATCGAACCTAGAGTGCGATGGTAATGAAACGAATATCTTTGACTGCGAACACGAGGGATATGGTACAAATATGTGTGAAGGTGTCCCGGGAGTTGGAGTAATATGTATAGACTTGGAATATGCAGGTAAGAGGTGGGGATATCGGTAGTCAGCATGTGGTTCAATTGTATCAACTATTCCACGTGATAGGATTCATTGCTTCTACTTAATAATATGAGCAAAATATTTTCACTTGGAATCTATAAGAAAGAAGGATTAATATAAGCTTGCATTTCTTTGGCAAAACACATACACAGAAGGTTAATGGAAAGCCATGGACTGTGTTAAAAAACTAAACAGAATTATAAGTCATTGATTCTTTAAGTTACTTGACAATTTTAAAATTAACAGCTATAATTTCCTTTATTATTATTTCACATTTTTTCAGTTTTACATGAAAACATTACTTGTGTTTCATGTTTCTTTTGGAGTTAGTATGAAGAACTACTTTTGTGTCGTACGTTGGCCTAAATCCTATTTTGAATGTCCAAAATTGTTTGCTAGATATGCACAAACTTCATAGCCTTCATTTTAAACCTTTTTAAAGTTTTAAACTTCCATCGTTTTGATAATTGATAATTTATTAATATTTTTTAAAGAAATTGTGTGGATTTTTATATATTGCTTCTTAATTGTTGTTAGATTATTGTTCTCAATAATTATGTTCATGTTTTACCTTTTAAGCTATTTTATATATATTTTATTCACTGTATACTGTATTTTATGTATCTGCCATGCCATAACCACTTGAACTTCCTTCTTGGATAATAAAGTCTTTTGAAGTATTTATGTTCTTAAATTTATTTCTGATGTGTTCGATAATATATATATTACACACACACACCTACACCCCCCCCCCCACACACACACACAATAAAGTTACCGTATTCTTCTGATGTAAATAATAATATAAAACAATTCAGCAAAATGACACGCGAGTTAAGAGTTACTCTCCTACCTTTACCTTGTTCAGTTGTGTTATTTACGCATATTGCAATTTATTTTATGTTATTGTATGCAATGTGTAGTGGTTGCATAGAAAAAAAAATCAATATGAATAACGGTGTGATTTTATTTGATCTTATACACCAACTAATGTCAATAAGATTGGTTCTAATCAACTTGTTTGACAACTACTGTAACAATTGAAATCATAATTTTTCAAAATAGATTTGGTACCCGTAAAGAATCTACGGATCAGAACCACAGGTGGAGATGACACAAGCGGGAAATTGGAAATATTCGATAATGATAATTGGGGGAAATGCTATAAATATATATGCATCAATTTTGAAAGTTAAGGAAGAAGAATCTCTAAGTGTGAAAAAATAGGTTCCCAATAAAGATTCGAACCCTGGGGCATTCTGCTGTCTATGCAGACGCTTTAACAACTTGGCTATTGAGGCTTTGTTGAAAATTCCTATTAAAGCCTCTAATTCATCACACTCATGTGCATGCGAAGTTGGACAGCACTAGTACTTGATGTATGGCAGTTAACAGAGATCAATATCGTACGACTGTTGTCCTATAAATAAAGAAAAAAATTGTGTAATAAATTCCTTTGACAGGAGTCGGTTAATACATCGGTTAATACAAATCTTTCAAGGACAGTTACCTTTAATCACGGTCTTTCCAATAAATAAATAAATAAATAAGTTAATTAATTAAAAAGAAAAGAAAATCCGGCTCTGTTTTTGTTCCAATACTTTTTGTGATTACTATTTCGATTTTTTCATTTATTCTAATTGTATTTATTAGGTCTGATTACTTTTAATATAAACATCATTAGATTGTACCCACAGTAAAAGAAGATTAATTGAGATATCCTTCTGCTAAATTTTAGATGGGATATTGACGATACCGTCACTGCGTGTCGCCAGCTAGGCTTCGCCTTTGCCGTTGAATTTAATACCTACACTGATCCAGGTTCTATGGTTGGAATATATAAAGATTTCGATTGTAACGGCATCCAGGGATATCTGCTTGCATGTGAACATAGAAAGGGCACATGTGATGAATACGTCAAAGTTACATGCACCGTAGAGTTTGAAGGTACAGTATGGTACTTTTATAATGAGGCCGAAATATGATTTGTTGTCTGAATTTCCATCATCACCATCATTACCAAGAACATTAGCAGCATCATTACCATAGTTATCATATCGTCACCATCATCATCATCATCACACCACCAGTGGCGTAGCTACGGGCAGTGCAGCCAATGTAAAGCACTGGCCAGTGGTATTAGGGGCCCATTCATAAACCACCATCACCGCCAACATCGTCGTCGTCATCATCATCATCATCATCATCATCATCATCATCATCATCATCATCATCATCATCATCATCATCATCATCATCATCATCATCATCACCACCACCAACATCATCATCATCATCATCATCATCATCATCATCATCATCATCATCCATCATCATCATCATCATCATCATCATCATCATCATCGTCGTCGTCCTCATCATTACCGTCATTATCATTAGGTCTACCGTCGTCATCATCATCACCATTACCGTCGTCATTATCAGCATCATCATCACCATTACCATCACTATTGCCATCATCAACATCATCATCGTCGTCGTCATCATCATCACCATCATCGTCGTCGTCGTCATTATCACCATCACCACCATCACCCTCATTAGCATCATCATTATTATCATATATTAATAATAATAATATATTATTATTATTGTTATTATTATTATTATTATTATTATTATTATTATTATTATTATATTTAGATGATAATAGTGGTGAAGAGCCTTATGAGGACGGTACAGGTATGTTTTACGATTACTATCAATGGATAAACGAAAATCCATGTGATGACTTTGAATGTGAAAATGGAGAATGTTTTATAGATGAATATTTTGATGCCGTATGTGATTGTCATGCAGAGTGGAAAGGGGATCACTGTGAACTTCCAGGTAAGCATATAGAAAAGAGATCTAATTCTATTCTACATAATTGTTCTATGTTAAAGCGATTTTAAAATATACAACTTTAATCAATATTTCAGTTGATGATGGTAACAACAACAACAACAATCCACCAACTGATCCTCCAGCTTCAAGTTCAGATGGTTAGTATTTGCAAATACAAAAAAAAAAAAAAATAATAAAGAAACATGTTTTTAATTTATGTCATTGTTTGTCATTTATTTACTAATATCTTTAGCCAGGATGACACAATCATTTTAAAGAAATGTTTTTCATTGTGGTCCTGGAAAAAAAAATATTAATAATGATAATAACAATAATAATAAACAACAAAAAAATAATAATGATAAACAAAACACAAAAGAACACACCCAGAGTCAGTACACTATAAGTTCTTTTGTAGGTTTGATGGTATTTTTGTATAAAGATGATGTTGCAAATCAAGCATCTCATTAATAGCTTATAGTTTTGAACCTCAATCGCCGAGAAATTTCAAAGGGAAATTCACATTACCAACAGAAACAAAAGTTATTGCCATTACGCCGTTTTTATAGCAGCCAAATGTTTTCTTAATAAATAAATAAATAAATAATAACATTTTATAAGTAAATTTAAGTCTGTAATATATTGCATATACGTGACTGTTTTAATTTTAAAATGTTCTCAATTCATATATTTCAGATGTAATCATATACGTTGCTATTGGAGTGGGAGTATTTGTATTGCTAGTTGCTACTTTCGTCATAATATATGTGACATATATTTTGAGGTATTTTTTTTATTTGGTTCGGTTGTCATCCGGGTATTTTTGTTTACTTTCAAGTCGCCCTAATTCAGTGGACAACTTTGTTAAAATGACAGTTTATTGGTTCAGACGGTGTCTCCGTAATAGGGGCACAACTGCACACTGAAAATATCTTTGGAATTAGCCTGAATTTTGAAAAGTTCAAAAGTATAATTAAGATACAGCCTGGTGTCCGTTCAAATTTTGCCATGTATTCTTATCTTAATAAAATCTCCGGTGGTCTTTTGTTGTTTTAGACGTCGAAGGTTACAAAGATCTACGACAAAAAAGCCAGTGGAAATTGGATTGAAAGGCAAACCGGTAGCTGAAAATAGACGAAATAACAACACGTACCAGAAAACCACCGGGTTGCCAAATCCAGCGCTGAATAAACCCACATCACCCCCTACCGAATACTACCTGGAGCCGTCCTCTGATTACGTTTCACCAGCAGAAGATTACACTGCTCTTGCACCGGCCTCTGAAATTTATGATGAAATACCGTATGATACCATCGACAACGGAGGCTATATGGATTTACAACCGTCAGAGAACAAAGCACCACCCGAACTTCCAAAGCCAAGATAAATAGTTCAATTATTGTTTGACGGTATAAAAAGTTATTTTACACTTACGAAACGAGGCCTACTCCGCTTTATTCCATGGGGTCTACCATGAAGTTTCCCTCAATTTAGACATAATTCAAAACCATCCTCATAAATCGAGTAGGTGGTGATCACTCTGTTCTTGTCTCGTATAGTGGAAAATTATTATTTTTTTTTTTAACTATGTAGGCCTCCTACAGGCTATGTAGGCCTCTTTCAGAGTTAGAGTGAGCCTCTGCATCACCCTGTGGTGGTAGGGTAAATGTGCATCACTGTTGATGTGCATCGCAATTAAGGTCTATGCTGGAAAGGACAAATTACACAGTCAGTCAGTGACAGCTACCAATGTGCGCGGGTCCTCCGTGACATTCCTGTTTTCTTACTAATGTACACGGCAATATACATACATACATACATATATATATATCTGTCTCTTATACACATCTAGATGTGTATAAGAGACAGGGTATTTAGCTGTTGTTCTATGAAATGGATAGAAACGTGTTTAGTTGAACAGGTAGAGCTACTAAAGGAGCTGATTTAACCTATATACATATATATATATATATATATATATATATATATATATATATATACTGTA